GCTTTTTGGAAGGTAGACCTTGTGAGTGATGAAACTGAATATTCATCTGAGGAGATCTCTGAACAAAGTTTGGAAGAAGAAGCTCGGTTCCTCATCACCGCTCACAGTAAAACACATCCAGAGAGAGAGAAATTGAAGACCAAATTGTTAAGCAAAAAGAAATCAGAGGGCCTCCCTGGTGGCGCAGTGGTTGAGAGTCCGGCTGCCAATGCAGGGGACACAGGTTCGTGCCCCGGTTCGGGAACATCCCACATGCCGCGGAGTGGCTGGGTTCGTAAGCCACGGCCGCTGAGCCTGCGCGTCCGGAGCCTGTGCTCCGCAACGGGAGAGGCCACAACAGTGAGAGGCCCGCGTACCACAAAACAAAAAAAGAAATCAGAACTTAGAGATTTGGAAACTTCTCAACCTATCCATATTTGAAAGTGAGAAAGCTTGTTCTGAAGAAAACTCGAAGGGTGTAGCAGGCGTGCTATTTTAATTTGTCCTCTCAGCAGAGGCCAGGAATAGAGAAGGATTAAACCAGCAGGACACTGCCAGTTTGAACTAAAGGGGACAGAGAAAGCCAGGCAGAATGAGGGAAGGCTGTCAGAATGCTTGGATTCTACAGAATGGGAGACTAGAGCAATTCGGCTGTGAATGTGTACTCATCATTTTTTTTTTTTTTTTTGCGGTACGCGGGCCTCTCACTGTTGTGGCCTCTCCCGTTGAGGAGCACAGGCTCTGGACGCGCAGGCTCAGCGGCCATGGCTCACTGGCCCAGCCGCTCCGTGGCATGTGGGATCTTCTCGGACCAGGCACGAACCCATGTCCCCTGCATCGGCAGGCGGACTCTCAACCACTGCGCCACCAGGGAAGCCCTGTGTACTCCTCTTAAAGAAAAGGGAAGCAAGACCCCAAAGGTGATTCCGGCTCAGCAGCCATGGCTCACGGGCCCAGCGGCTCCGCAGCATGTGGGATCTTCCCGGACCAGGGCACGAACCTGTGTCCCCTGCATGGGCAGGCAGACTCTCAACCACTGCGCCACCAGGGAAGCCCTGTGTACTCCTCTTAAAGAAAAGGGAAGCAAGACCCCAAAGGTGATTCCGAGGTCATCGGGTCTGTCAATCCCACCACAGGCCCAGGGGGCCTCAGTTTCAAAGTGTGAGATTGTCGCCCTCACAGAGAGTCATGGTGTAGGTGGAGGCCCTACAGAGAGCTGCAGTGTGCGTGGCACCCCACCAAGCTGAAGGAGTGGGGCTGCCCCACCGAGCTGTGGGGATGATGTTGCCACCCCAGTGGGCCTGGAGGGCAAAGCCTCAAACCAAAGAGGATTATTCTCGTACCTTAACATCTAATGGGATTGGCCTTGCTAGGTTTTGGACTTGCTTGGAAACTGTCACCACTTCCCTCTTTCCTATTTCTTCCTTTTGGAGTAGGGATGTCTATTATATGCCAGTCTCATCAACGTATTTGGAAACACTTAACTTGTTTGGGTCACAGATTTACAACTACAGAGGAATTTAGCCTCAGGATGAATAGTACCTCCAGTCTCCCCCATATGTGATTTAGATGGTGTTTAGATCAGACTTCGGACTTTAGATTTTACAGTTGATGTTGGGATGAGTTAAGGCCTTTGAGGCTGTTAGGATAGAATGAATGTATTTTGCATACAATAAACACACGAATTTTTGTTACCAGGGGCAGAATGCTATGGACGTGTATCCCCCCCACCAATTCTTATGTTGAAACCCTAACCTTCAATGTATTTGGGGCTAGGGTCTTTGGGAGGTAATTAGGTCATGGGAATAGAGCTTTCTTAATGGGTTTAGTGCCCTTAGAAGAAAAGACACAAGAGAGATCCGTCTTTCTCTCTGCCACGTGAGGACACAGTAAGACAACCATCTGAAAAGTAGGAAGAGAGCTCTCACCAGGAACTGAATATGGCACCTTGATCTTGGCCTTCCAACCTGCAGAACTCTTAAGAAATTACCGTCTGTTTTTCAAGCCACCAGGTCTATGGCATTTTGTTATAGCTGTCCAAGCTGATGAAGACATAGAGAATATATAAGATGGTCTAATATACATATATCCAGGGTTCTAGAAGTAGAGGCAGGAGAGAATGGGTAGAAGTAACATTTGAAAAAGATAATATTATGTTCTAGATGAGTTGAAGAATGTGTTATCAGTTAATGAAGCAAAATAGATCACATGGAGGATAAAATTTTTTAACCTGAAACTAATCACACGTCAAGAAACTGGAGAACACAAAAGACAAAAGACAATCTTAAAAAAAAAACAATTAGCAAGGAAACTGATCACCCACCAGGAAAGGGTGTACTGATGGCATAAATTGAAAAAACAGTAACAAAAGCCATATTCGATGGAATAAATATTCAAAGTTCTGAACGGCAAAACTTTTCCTCTGGAACTGATTACACTGTCACGTTATAATTTATAAAAGTTCACCAACAAGGGAACTGATAAATTATTTTAAATGTATGGATACAATGCAAAATTCTAAATAATTAAAAAATTAAAGAACATCTAATATATCCATTTTTCTTAAAGTAAGAATGTTGAAAGAAGAAGCCAAAGGCAATATGATTTACATGACACCATATATCACCCAAAATATTATTGTTATACATAATTTTGATTATCTACAGCTGTGCTAAAAGCATAAACATTTTTATAAGATGGATATATACCAACTTCTTGACGGTGGCTATCTTTCTCATTGTTGGTGAGAGTGTAAAATGGGACAACCCTTACGGAAAACAATATGAGGTTTCGTCAGAAAATTAAAAATAGGGGTTTCCCTGGTGGTGCAGTGGTTGAGAATCTGCCTGCCAATGCAGGGGACACTGGTTTGAGCCCTGGTCTGGAAAGATCCCACATGCCGTGGAGCAACTAGGCTCGTGAGGCACAACTACTGAGCCTGCACACCTGGAGCCTGTGCTCCGCAACAAGAGGCCGCGACAGTGAGAGGCCCGCGCACGGCGATGAAGAGAGCAGCCCCCGCTCGCCGCAACTAGAGAAAGCCCTCGCACAGAAACGAAGACCCAACACAGCCAAAAATAAATAAATAATAAATTTTAAAAAATTAAAACTATAACTACCATGTGATCCAGCAGTCCCATTCTGGGTTTGTATCCAAAATAATTCAAAGCAGGATCTCAAACAGTTATTTGCACACCCACATTCATCGTAACATTACCCAAAATACCCAAGATGTGAAGAAACCCAAATGTCCATCAACAGATGAACGGATAATGGGGTCTATAAATACAATGAAATATGTCCTTCCTTGAAATAAAAGGAAACCATGTCTCATGCTACAACATGGATAAACCTCTAAGACATTATCCTAAGGGAAATAAGCAACTCATAAAAGGACATATCCTAGCCACTCACATGAAGTATCTAGAGTAGTTAAAATCATAGAAACATACAAAGGTGATTGTCAAGATCTCAGGGAGGAGGAGGGAGAATTAGGGAGTCTCTGCTGTCCCATCCCCCGCCTGGGTCCTGGGGAAGGAATCAGAACTCAGAAGCAGAAGAGGCTTTGGCCAGCAGGGAAGCGGGGGTGAGGCCCAGGGCGGGTTCACAAAGGATCAGAGCATCTGAGTGCATTAGGAGGAAGGGGCTTCAGAGGTGGGCCAGCACAGGCCATGACGGGGGCTAAGCAGACTGGGAGGCGGGGCAGTTCGGGGAGACAGCTGCTCCCTGCCCCTCATTGTTTGCTCGTCTCACCCTTATGAGCGGGTCGTTTCCCCTGCTCTGATGATTCGAAGTCTCTGCCAGCACCCACAGGACGGTGACTGAGGCCTCCACACTCCTCTGCATGGATCCCAGCTCCAACCCAGATCTGGGGCCACAGACACCTCTCCCCCAGCCCTGCTGCCCCTGTGAGCAAGCTGTTCTTGTGAAACGCGGTCATAGTTTGTTAGGAGGAACTGTTTTATATGGGAATACAAATCAGTGTTGATACCAATACACACACATGTCCAGCCATGGGTGGAAAGGGAAGGGACAGTATAGTTCTGAGGTGTCTTTGCACACCCATAGGCCCCTAAGGCCAGTCTTCACAGCCACAGCCACATGGGTCCTATTCCCTCAGTTGAATGAGATGCTGCTGCACAGAAATCCCACAAGTTCCACAAAGGGACCCAACTGTCATTACCCTTATACACACCTTTCACGGGTGCCCCATGAACTTCCCCACAACCATTCCCCTTGCTGCATCCTCATTGGGATTAAGAGGTAGCTGCCTCCACCACTCTCCACATTGCAGTAATCCCAGTGGGACTAGAGGATGCTCCCGCTACGACGAGGCAGACAGTCCTGTCCCCATGGCCAAGACTTTTCCTCTCTGGTCAGGCCGCCCACACAGGAAACCCTGGATGAGCGGAGGGTCATCCCAGCGCCGTCGCCTGGCCACTTCAGGGAAGCAGAGAGAAGCTCCATAATGACAAGGGCTGTCTCCAGGCTCCATCCTAGAAACCGGGGAGTGTCCAGAAGGCTGAAAGGCACAAAAGCAGCTCTGCCTCCCCAGAAGGTTCAGGGATGCAGAAGATGGTACAGATGCCCCAGAAGGCCCCTAGGCAAGCAGGCTTTAGAGAAGGGGATGATGAGGGGGTCCCTGGGGAAGGTGAGAGCTGTGCGTTCCCAGGGGCAGCCTGAGGAATCCTTGTCTATGTGGAGGAAAGGTTTGGCCACCTGTAGATCCAGAGCTCCTGTGACCTCCCTCATCCTTCCTTCCTCTCAGGATCACTCTCTGTGGAGCAGCTCAACACGAACAAGATGACAGTGGCCTTAGAGCATTCCCCACCAAGACTATCTTTATTCACAGTTTATATACATCACTCCAAAGGTCCTGCTGCCACCCACACCTGGCCACACCCACCTCCCCCGCCTCCCTCCCCCCCACAATCCCGCTCCCCCTCCCCGCCCTGGTGGTCCTGCCCTCCCTCCCTTCCCCCCACATCGTCCAGGGTCAGCACTGGGATGAGGAGGAGCCCCTAGGCTCCCCTGGGGGCCGCCCTGGAGGGCCGGCCCAGCTGTTCCCTACCAGCTGCAATGCTTCCTCTCCTCTTCCTACTCTTCTCTGGGACACACGCGTCCCGCTTTCTCTTTCTCGGCTGTGAGGGGCGAGCCGGCCACAGAGCCAAGGCTGGCTTCCCAGACACCCGGAGGCCAGCCCCGGGGATGGGCAGCTTCTCAGCAGAGGCTGGGCGTCCACGCAGAGCCCGCTTCCTCGACTTGGGAGCGGCTGGTGGAGCTGGGCTGAGGCCTCTTCTCTGAGGGGAGGGGGCCTGGGGAGCACTCCGGGCCCCCCAACCTCCAGGGGAGGCCAGGCCTGAGGCATGGGCAGGACTCTGGGACACCCAGCCAGGCAGCAGGCTCTCCAGAGAGCCGAAGAGGAAGGCCAGGCTGGGGAGCTCCTCCTCGTCCTCACCGGACCCGTCCCTGGGCCCTCGGGCCTCCCGAACAGGAGAGGCCTCTCTGAGAACAGACGCATCCCTGGGTCCTGGTAGAGGGCCAGCGCGCCTTTGACCCTGGGGAGGGGAGGGCCGTCCGGCCCGGAATGGAGAGACCGCCTGACGTCCTCGAGAGGGAACAGAGACTTTGGGCGTGCACAGGCCAGTGTCTGTTTGGATGAGCCTATGAGGAGCCTCAGAATCAATCTCTGGTGGGCAGGCTTCATCAGTGACCCCTAGATGGGGGTCTTGGTCGTGCCTCTGGGCACCCTGGCCGCCGTAGGACTCATAAGGACTTGAGCGTATTCCGGGTGCACTGTGACTCGGGTCGGCCCGCACACCCTCGTCCTCTTTCAAGGCCAGGAGTCGTTTCTGCACCAGCTGGTAGGAGGGAGGAAGACAGTGTTGGTTCCACACACACGTGTGAGAGGAGGAGCCCTGGGCAGTGGGACAATGGCCCTGGGGGGGAGGAGGGGACGGGGGACCCCAGGACTCGAATCCAGATACGGACCCTGTGCCATTCCTGCCATCCTCCTGCACCTTATTCCCAGCTTTGTGCCCTTCCCTCCCCTCCCGGCTCCCCATCCTCTCCTTCCTTTCACCCTGCACTGCACCCACCCCAGAACGGGCCCTTCCCCATGCCAGGCCTCCCAGGCAGGGGAGGGATGGACAGCACCAGATGGGCCTCCTGTTCTGGGGCCCTACCTCTCCCCTGTTCACTGGGGTCCTTCTGTACCCTGGTCTTCCTGGGTGTCCCTTGTCTCCCGTGTTCTACCGGGTATCCCACCCTCCTCTGGCTCCCCTGGGTCATCTGGGTTCCCCTGTCCCCTGGATCACCTGGGGTCCCCCTCCCGTGGGGTCCCCTGGCTCCCTGAGTGTCCCTCTCCCTCCCCTGGCTCACTTCTTCTGGGGTGAGCCCTTCCTCCTGCTCCAGCTCCTCCACTAGGGCCAAGAGATCCAGCTGTGCATCTGGGGAAAGCAGTTCTGCTACGAATCGAGGGTGAATGACTGCCTCCACCTCGGACAGAAAGAAGAGGCTGTGAGCATCCTTGGCCAGGAGTGGCCTGTGAGACAAGAAGACCCGGAGGGAAAGTGAAAAGCAGAGACCCACCCCACTGTCCTCCACAAGGCAGGGATGGTCAACACACACACACACACACACACACACACACACACACGCACACACACACACACACATGCCCATACACAGTCACACAAAAGAGCACATATACAGAGGCACATACACAGACACACAAAGGCATACACACAGACAGACACAAACATGTACACACATACATCTGCATACACCTCCTCTAACACCAGACTCAGGAACAAGGAGCTGAGCTTAAGTCCCAACGGCCTGAGCAGAACCCAGATCTTGGGTGCTGAGTGTTCCATGCCCTGGCATCTTGTAGACCCCAGGCTCCAGGCCTAGCCTACCTTGGTGACAAAGTCCTCCTGGGAACACAGCTTGTCAAAGTAGCTCAAGAGGCCCGGGTCCGAGTAGATGCCGTCCTCTTCCTGCTTCAGCTCATTTCCGTCCACTCCACCTTCTGCAACTGACTCGCCTGTGGCTGAGTGGACGGGCCCCACCAGCGCCTCCACGATGTCCATATACTCCCTCACAGCCTCAGGGGGAATCTCCTTGGGTGCCTTGGGCTCCGGGGGCTGCTGGGACCTGTGTGGCTTTGGGTGGGAAGGCTGGTCCCTGGGGCCGGACATCCTGGGAGCACAGGCTGAGGCAGAGCAGGAGGAAGGGAAGGAAGGTGAGGGACTGCCGGTCCACCTCCTGACCACCGAGCGCACGTTGGTGAGAGCATTGTTTGGGGGCCATTGATGTGGGTGTGGGGGGGTCAGGACCACCTGAAGCCTTATGCACTGTTGGAGAGGGGAGGTAAGGGGGGCATCTAAGAGAGTCACAAGTAAGGAAGTGGGGAACCTCCAAATTTCTAGGGGTCTCCCCATCAAGCCCACTTCCTAGGCAGACTTTGTGTGGGGTCCTTTGACAGGCAGGTGTGAGAGGAGTTACAAAACTGACCAAGTCAATACCCCACAGTGACAAAAGGGAGCTGAGACCACGCCCCCACCCCATGCCTCAGTGGCTGTTTTGGTTGAAAGACAAATGCCCCTGTCTTGAAGGAAAAGGAACCACATGGGGACAGTGGCCAACCCTAGGCCCCTGTTACCTGTGCCTTCAACTCTAGTGGGAACCTGGGTGCCTGGCTGAAGGCCCACTTTCGGGGCTGGGGGACCCCGAGGATCCAGCTTCGGTGGGGCTGGAGGAGGCAGGTCCTGCGTGCACTGCATCCACTGCAACATCTGAATCTGCATCTCCTCCTCGGCCTCAAATTCCATGAACCTGGGGGGTGACGGAGGCACAGGCCACCCTGAGAAAAAGGCCTGGGCTCTGGAACCCAACAAAGGCAGCCAAGAATGAGGGATTGGGAGAGGATGTGCCTTGGGACTGTCAAGGCCCTGTGAGGTCACAGTCACACAAAAGAGCACATATACAGAGGCACATACACAGACACACAAAGGCATACACACAGACAGACACAAACATGTACACACATACATCTGCATACACCTCCTCTAACACCAGACTCAGGAACAAGGAGCTGAGCTTAAGTCCCAACGGCCTGAGCAGAACCCAGATCTTGGGTGCTGAGTGTTCCATGCCCTGGCATCTTGTAGACCCCAGGCTCCAGGCCTAGCCTACCTTGGTGACAAAGTCCTCCTGGGAACACAGCTTGTCAAAGTAGCTCAAGAGGCCCGGGTCCGAGTAGATGCCGTCCTCTTCCTGCTTCAGCTCATTTCCGTCCACTCCACCTTCTGCAACTGACTCGCCTGTGGCTGAGTGGACGGGCCCCACCAGCGCCTCCACGATGTCCATATACTCCCTCACAGCCTCAGGGGGAATCTCCTTGGGTGCCTTGGGCTCCGGGGGCTGCTGGGACCTGTGTGGCTTTGGGTGGGAAGGCTGGTCCCTGGGGCCGGACATCCTGGGAGCACAGGCTGAGGCAGAGCAGGAGGAAGGGAAGGAAGGTGAGGGACTGCCGGTCCACCTCCTGACCACCGAGCGCACGTTGGTGAGAGCATTGTTTGGGGGCCATTGATGTGGGTGTGGGGGGGTCAGGACCACCTGAAGCCTTATGCACTGTTGGAGAGGGGAGGTAAGGGGGGCATCTAAGAGAGTCACAAGTAAGGAAGTGGGGAACCTCCAAATTTCTAGGGGTCTCCCCATCAAGCCCACTTCCTAGGCAGACTTTGTGTGGGGTCCTTTGACAGGCAGGTGTGAGAGGAGTTACAAAACTGACCAAGTCAATACCCCACAGTGACAAAAGGGAGCTGAGACCACGCCCCCACCCCATGCCTCAGTGGCTGTTTTGGTTGAAAGACAAATGCCCCTGTCTTGAAGGAAAAGGAACCACATGGGGACAGTGGCCAACCCTAGGCCCCTGTTACCTGTGCCTTCAACTCTAGTGGGAACCTGGGTGCCTGGCTGAAGGCCCACTTTCGGGGCTGGGGGACCCCGAGGATCCAGCTTCGGTGGGGCTGGAGGAGGCAGGTCCTGCGTGCACTGCATCCACTGCAACATCTGAATCTGCATCTCCTCCTCGGCCTCAAATTCCATGAACCTGGGGGGTGACGGAGGCACAGGCCACCCTGAGAAAAAGGCCTGGGCTCTGGAACCCAACAAAGGCAGCCAAGAATGAGGGATTGGGAGAGGATGTGCCTTGGGACTGTCAAGGCCCTGTGAGGTGCTGTCCACAGCAGAGAGCTGCTCCTGGAACTGATACAAGATCTGGGACCCTTCCTGCCTCACCAGCACTGGGGGACATTCAACAGCATAGACCCAGGTCGCTGAATTGAACCAGGTCAACGGGACACATGGCTGACCCAGGGGGCACCCTCCTCATGCCCCCCATCCCCATCCAGAGCCACATGAAGGACTGACAGCCAGAGTCTGGAACAGGCATGTGTTCCCCACAGGGGTCCTTGCTCGAATCCAGGACCCTGGGCTGGGACTGAGAGTCCTGGAACATAGACCTGGAGACAGGGCCCAGGAGGGGCTGGACAATGTGGATGCTGAGCTTAGAGGAGAGGCCTTCCTTTCCTCTGAGAGGCGCTCGTTTGTTTGGGTTTCTTTCTTAAACCAAGGGGATTACCATGGAGCAAACAATGGAAGGGCCAGAGACCCTTGGGCTGACGACAGCTGCCTTCCCCAGCCTCTTCAGGGATGCCAGGGTACCCACTCAGGCCACTTTTCATGAGGAGAGGGGGTCCCAAATCTATGTCAGTGGCCGCCAGCCACCCACCACTAAGGAAGCAGCAGGCTGGCGGGTGGAGCTCTTTCCCCGGCTCACCCCATATGGCTGGAGTTGGACCCCTACTGGACTCACAGCTTCACCCTGCCCCATCCTGAGACCTTCATGTCAAGGTAAGGATAGGTCAAAATCAGGGGAGGGCAGAGCTCCTGGTGGAGGAAGGACAGAAGACCCAAACTCTCAAGGTGAGGGAGGGGTTTCTGGGGGACAGTAGGGCGGGCCTCTGGGCTGCGGGGCCCCTGTTCTGGGTGACAGCCCTTCCTCTTTGCCCTGTCTGATGAGCACCCTCACGGCCAGACCCTGCCCTCACCCACTCGCCTCACCCTCCACGCAGCCCCTGGGCCCAGGACGCTGACTCACTTTTCCGCTATCTTGTAGTAGATCATCCGGTCAACGTTGCTTATGCGCTGCCATTCCTGCACGGCCCTGCACAGTCCCCACTCCAGCGTCATGGTGGGCTTCAGGCGGGCCAGGGATCGAAGCCCTGGGCTGTAAGACCTTGGGGTCAGTCTCCATGCCCAGCCCAGCCCCCACCTGTCTGACCCCACTCGCCAATGTGGACCACACATCACTCAACGCAGCATGACTGAGCAACAGGAGGGTGAGAGGCAGGTGTCTGGGAGGGCAAAGACAAGCCTTCCCGGCTACTGCTGTCACTGCCTCACACTCACTCGAGGATGACCATCCACTCCCAGGCTACAGCTGGGACACTGTGCCTTGGGGAGCTCTTTTCCTCTTCAAGGCTGCCTTTTCATAATAAAAATCACTATCATCAATGAGGCATGGCATGTGCCAGGCAATCTGCTAACACTTCATAGATTAGCCCAAGGAGTCTTCTGCCCGGTCCTCTGAGTGAAGTGTGATTGTCCCCTTTTTACGAGGGACTGGAGGTTTAGGATGGAAATGCCTGCCAGGCTCACAACTCTAGTGGGAGTGAGCCCACGCACTTAGGAGAGCTCTACCATCACCCTGTTCCTAGTGGAATTCTCCACAACAACGAAGTCGAGGCGTGCATTAAGTGCTCTCCTGGGCCCCGCGCCCCTCCCCCTCCTCCAAAGTGACCTTCCCTGGCCAAGTACACTCAAGTCCTGTATGAAAGCAGACGGCACCACAGGAGAGTGCGGCATCCACTCCTTGGCTCCTCACCTTACACCACGACCCTCTCTGACTGCAAGTCTTCAGTCCATATTACCATGAGAATCATGGAAGAGCACGTTGGCTAGACTCACAGGGTGGTGGGGTCAGTTGAGACAAGGCACATTTCAGTCATGATGCCATGGACTGGCAGGCTCACCCATATGACCGACAATGTGCCTTCTCATAGCATGGACATCGTCCTCAGACCTTGCTTCCAGTATCCCTAGAAACCTAACCTTCGAGTCCATCCCCAGTTCCTCTTTATGTAAAAGCTCCGATAAGCTCACGACCCCCTGAGTATTCACTCACATGAGAAAGCAGGAAAGAGCTTCTGCATCAGGACTCTTGGGAAGGTGTCTCTGGGCCAGTGGCTTGAGGCGCTGCCAACGTCGGAAGTTACTGTACACGCTCTGGGGATTAGAGCAGTCTCCCTGCGAGGTGTAGGGCTGGTTGGTGGCCAGGCTGGCCTCCCTGGAAGTGCCATGTGGCCAAGGCCCAGAGTTCACTGGGCAAATGATAGGGGCCAGCTGGGCAGCTGGTGGTGGAACTTGAGGAGGAAAGCCTGGGGTCCAGCCTCCCATGCCAGCCTGAGTAACTCCAACAGCTGGAGCAGTCACAATGGTCTCCATCACAGGGGTTGCTAAGAATACGGGTGCAGGACATGCAACACTCCCGCTGAGAGCCCCTGGAGCGCTCCAGGTGAGGGGGCCCTGAGTTATGATAAAGGTCTGAGTCTGGGGGGCCTCCACTGGCCTCCCTTGTGACCTGACTTGGACAGTGAGGTTGCAGGCCCCAGGGGCACTGGGTCCACGGCCACCATTAGCCACCAAAGGCGTCGTGGGGAAAGCTGGCAGCACCGGGCTGCTGACAGGCGGGAATGCTGGGGTGATGGGAGGTGGCAGGTGCTGCCCCCACGGTGGCCGGTGCTGGGCGCCAGGAATGGGTGGAGGAAAGAGCACTGCCATGAAATCAGACAAGGAGGCACCAGGGTTCAGGATGACATCCGTTCCCAGCACTGGAGATGCTGTTGAGGCAAAGGGAAGGAGTGAATGGAGGAGGAGAAGGGGCAGTGGGACTGAGGCTTTCTGCCGCATCAGAGTGTAAACCTCCACAGGTGAGAGACACTTGGGCAAGGGAAACTGCAGCGTGCAAATGTCTTCAAGTGATTTTCATGCCCTGACCTCCAGTTGAGAATTACTCCACCGGTGACCCCGCGCCCATCCACCAAGGCCCCTGACCCCTGCCTGCCGACAAGAAATTGCCTCAGCAAGCACTCCCTTGGAGAGCCTCCCTGAGGCACCCCCTGGCAGCTAAGCCTCACGGGCTGTCTCCCAAGACCTGGAACTGTGTGGACCTCCGCTCTGTGAGAAATGCCCCTCAGCCGGTGTACTAGCAGGTAGGGACCTTCTGCAAGGTAGGTTCTAGGCACCCAAAGGCCCTTTGTGGACAGGCACTGTGTAAAATATTAGGGCCCCACCTCCTCCTCAGTCCTCCTTTTCCTGACGCTCAGTATAAATCCCCTCTTTCTTTCCTAGCCTCACAAAACAAACCAAAATGCTGGAAAATATCTCTCTAATGGAATCCTGATACAAACCCGTAACACTGGCCCAGAATGCACCTACATCTCAGAACAACCCACAGCAGATACAACTGGCCCAGAATGCACCTGCATGTCAGAACAACCCACAGCAGATACGTAACATGGGCCAGGTCCTGCCACCCCCTCCCCAGGGCCCAGAGTCACTGTCATCACTCAGGAGTTCTGTTCCTAGGAGGTGGGTGGGGGGTCTGAGAAGTAGGCACGTGTCCCTTAGATTCTGTCATTTCGCAGCCAGTGATGGCTGCAGAGGATTAAACAAGGGCCAGGGAATTGTCATGTTACATTGGTCATGGGAGTATAGACCGCCTGTGGTCCTTCCCCTTCCAGCTCCCAATAACGGAGAGACAATCTGAGAAGCAAGCATAAGCCCTGTGCCATGGCGACCAAGTTGTCTGAAACACATCCCTGTTCAGGAGAACAAGGTACATACCACGGTGCACCTAATTAACCAGAATAGGTGTCATAGGACGTTTAATAGTAACACAGAAGATCGTCTTCCTGACCCTGGGCTACACGCCTTCCCCCTTTAAAAGAGGAAACAGTCTTCATAGACATTCCACCCGAAACAACCCCACTCCACATCTGTTCCCTGTCCATGAAGGAGTGACATGAAATATGAACAAACTCTTCCTCTCAAGGCAGCCTGAGGGTCCACCATGAGATACTGGACAAGATGAAGGAGGTCTGAAGTACTGAGATTCCACAAAAGGAAGAACAATTCAGAGCAACTCAGGAACCTGAGCCCTCTCTTGGCTGAAGTTACACAGTTACACATCCCCTGTTGAATCCAAGGCAACAGTTACCTGACCTGAGAAGTGAGCTCTGGGCTGGGAGGAGTGGACGAGGTGTGGGCTGCGGCAGTTAGAGTAACCTCCTGCCTAGCTCTCGGAGAGGACCCTTCACTGCAGGTGTGCCCACACACAGCCCCATTGAATAGTTTTCTCACCGAGACCATCTCTCCCCAGGGCCCCCTGAGATACAGTATGCTTCTGTTCAAATCCCTTTGAAAGATATGGTGAGGCAAGCTTCAGGTGCCTCAGGAACACAATACAGGTCTAGGCTTTCCTCATGACCCTCCCTGTGTCACCACCAGGACATCACACACATCCTTACACACACCTTTCAAAGTGGCTTGTCTCCCTTCTAGAAACAAACAACCTGTCTGCTGCCATCCTTTCTCCATAGCCAGGGCAATTCCTCTTGATCTACCTCCAATGACCCCTCCTCCCCAGTGCAGTCTCAGGTTTCTTCAGGCTCCCCAGTCTCCCCGCGTAAAATGTCCTTGTGTGTCCAGTGCTCTTTTCTCCCTCTATTTCAGTCCAACTGTGTGCCCACAGTGAAGTGTCACATGTGAACCCGAAGGATGTGAGGGATGGCAGGGTCTCTGAGAACACACCCCCAGCCTATAGGCTTACCTCCTTCTGAAGCCATCCTGCAGGCTTGGGCACGGACTACTGCTGCCTGGTAGCCTCAATGAGAAAAGTCAAGACCAGAACCCAGAGAGCGACCTGCTTCAGCAGTTGCTCAGGATCCAAGTAAAGGAGAGCCACGTTTAAATTTAAACAGTAGCATGTGGGCTAAAACGTTCTGCAGTGGGGGAGGGGCAGAGGGCACTTGGGTCCGGGTGGGGTGGGGTGGGGGGACATTCCACGAGGGCTCTGGGAGGTAGGCAAGAACCGGAAGTTCCTTCCACCTCACACAGAGGCAACACAATTGGCGTGTGCCTCTTTAGGCAGTTTATAAACTTTTTTTGATTCACGGCACCGACGTTGGACATGACGGTCCCTTCCTTTCACGTCTTTATCCATCAACCTAGTTTTGTGTCCCTCAACACACTCTGCTTCCTACCTGGCTCTTGACTTACTTCAACAGAGACTAGACTTTCTGAACAAAATACCCAAGTGTTAGTCTGAAAAACATAAATAATGGCCACATGGAAGTGAGTACTTGAAATTAGGATTGTCTCAGCAGATCCAGTGTCTTTGACTGCTGTATGTACATCACTCCTAAGGAAGTGGTCCTTGTGCTCCAACCAACATCCAGCAGGACCAGCCTTACTAACGATCCTTTGTGCTGGAAAGCCCCCGTCCATCAAAAAACTGTCATGCAGTCCCCATGTCCAAGACCAGAATTCACCAAATGTCTTTCTCATAGTATTCCATGGTTGTTAAAGATTTAGTTTTTTACCTTTTAAATGATTTTAGTATAATATTTTAAGCGAGTAACACCTTCTCATGGTTCAAAATTAAATTGTGCAAAATGGAATACGCAGTGGCGAGTCCTCCTCCCACCTCTTTCCCCTGTCAACCCAATCCTCTTTCCTGGAGGAAACCAGTGTTATCTCTTCCATTAAAATCTTCCCAGAGATACATCATGCAACTAAAAACGAAGGCAATCTATTTTCATAGAAGAGCGGAATTCTGCAAGATATTATAAAAAAGGAGGGAGGGAAAGTAAAATTGTTCCCATACTACCTGTTGTGTTGAAATTGGCCCAGATTGTCAACTCTTTCTCAAAATTATTTTTTAAAACCCCAAAACCGTACAAAGGAAACACCTGTGAATCAACATTTATTGAACAACCTTCATGTATTAAATACACTGAGAAAAAATATTCTAGAAGAGTAAATGCGTTGGAAAAACCCTAGGAACGGAGTCAGGAGACAGTATCTTAGTGTTTCCCAAGTCTGAAATTCTCTGCTAGAATTGTTCTTTAACGGAAACTTCAGGCTTGCTAGGAAAAAGGACCTACTGTTTTTTGAAAGGCATAAACAAGAACCAAGGAACTGCAGTCCAAAGGGCATAAAAGCACTTGCCCCAATTTGAGGCTACTGTGCTTACAGCGCAGCTCTCCAGAACTCTTTGTAGCTAAGTGCATGGGTTTCACGTGTGCAATACAGAAATCACGAGTGCACATCTCACAAGAGCCGGTTTGAAGAAGAGACCGTCACGAAAGTTCCCGGCGAGGAGCGTCGCCAGACAAGCTCCACAGCGTGCCTGACGCTCCATTTCTCTCCTCTCCTGCAGAGACCTCCTGGAGCAGATGCCCGAGCGCCCCGCGCCCGCACGCCTGCGCACGCCCACTGGGCGCACGGCTCTCGGGCACGCGGACCTACGTCCTCCAACAGCTCCCGGCGTCTGTTGGGGCAGTTTGCTCCGGAAGACAGGAGCGCATGCGCGAGCGCGGAGGGTGGGGCCCCAACGACCGTCCGGCGCGGGAGGGGCCTGTCATGGCGGCCTCT